CTCCCTCAGGGCTGTTCTGAGATCCTGAGGATCTGGTCCAGCCCTACTGAAGGGCAGAAATCACTGGCACAATCCAGCCCATGGAGAGACAGGGATATCCCCAGAGGGCGACATGCACAGACACGGGAAGCCCGATTCTCAGACCTTTTTAAACTGTGCTGAGAATAACCCTGTGCTGTGGGTTGCCTCGACCAGTGGAGAATGGCATTCAACTTCTTCAATAGTTCTGCTTCCAGCCCATGGAATAAGAGGTACAACAGCAGTGCGGAAAAAGCCCACTGTATCCCAGCTGGTCTCTGCTACTCAGACCCTTTGGGGAACCAGAGTCAGCTTGTGCAGCCCCGAGGCTGCTCTAACTTGCATGGAGGGCCCAGAATTCAGGGAGGGCAAAGGTCAGTTTAAGCCATGTGAGACCATCCCCAGGCAGGAACTGACTTGTGTATTGGTTCCCCGCGATCCCAGAGACACACACACACCCATCCCCACACACATCCAGGGAGACAGACTCCCACCCCATGTCTCTGAAGGCTGATAACAGTGGACACGTACCAGATACTCCCGGCTTCTCCCTTCTGTTGACACTTTCAACCCCAGGAGCTTTTCTCTCTCTTCCTTCAGAGTCTGCAGCTGGGTCTGGATTTGTTTCTGAGCAAAAAAAACAGCGTGGCTGAAATTGACTTTTAGTGTTTGTTTGTGGGCAGTTTCCTCAGCAGGGATTGGGGAGTCTGTCCTCCCTACAGAACCCTGGACACAAGACAGGGCCTCCCTCTGACACCAGCCAAACTGGACCCTTCTCCCCTCAGAGTGGCCAAGCCCACCTCTGGCACCTGGACCCTCCCGCTGGGATCCCCACCTCCCGAGAAGAGAAGCCCCCTGCGCCAGGTGCTGTGAGGTCCTTTCCCAACCTGCTGGAGGACCCCCCTAAAGCACAGGTCTTGGGGGAAAAGGCCAAGGCTTGTCTCAAAGGCTGCTTTTCTGGAGATGGCAGCTTCTCTGCTTGGCACCTAGGCCTTGCTTTCACCCCCTCTATTCAGAGTGAAGATGAAGATCAAACCACCTTTAGCCCCAAAGGTTTTGTCCACCCTGAGCTAGGGGTGAAAGCACACCTCCCCGCACTGCCAAGACTTCTACCCCCTGGAAGACTGGTCCGCCTTTCTGTCCTCCTTTTGGCCGCACTCAAGTGGCTGCCTATTCTGTAAAAGCCAAACTGGCAGCCAGCTAAAGTGACTCTACTGGGATTTGAACCCACAGCCTTTGAATAACTCTCCCAAATACTACTATGCATTACTCCTTAGAAGTCCAACACGCTTTCCATTGTGCCACAGAGCCCTTTGATAAGTGGAGTACTCATCTCCGCTCTCTCTACTTTGCAACACTGCAATTTCTGTGGTAAAAGCAGGGGAAGATATAAGGAAAACACTGTGTTGGCTGGGAATTAAACCCAGACCAACTATTTAGAAGTCAGCCATCCTAACCACTACACCACGAATGCTGCCTTGCTAATAGCCCTTAAGACCCGTGACTATGCATTACCTAGAACCTGTCTTCAGCCAGACTGCAGCCAAAGTGACACTGGTGGGGTTCAATCATCTAAACTGCTGTTTTTTTCATTTCCCT